CACCAGTACTGCGGAGCATTTTGGACATGGCCATGGGACTACAGTTGTAAATCTGAATAGGAAACATTTACATGGTGGTAAGTCTAGCATACATCATCATTACTAACAGCCACTGATTTTTTTTAATGATCACATATATGTGTATTTTTGCAAGATTGCAAGATAAGCAGGTCAGCAGTTCAAGGCCCATGCCCTGTGTGCTGGAATGAGTCCTCGTCACTAGTCGCAGCTTGTGCCAACCTAGCAGTTCAAAAGCATGTAAAAGTGCAAGTAGATAAATAGGTACAACTTTGATGGGAAGGTAACAGCATGCTGTGCAGTCATGTTGGCCACATGATCTCAGAGTTGTCTTTGACAATGCTGGCTCCCTTGGCTTAGTATCTGAGATGGGCACCATCCCCAACAGTCACACAGAAAACCTTTACCTTTACCTTTTTATAGTGTATTTATTTTTAATGTTGTCTTATGCTACTTAGGCGTGTTTTGTACTACTGCTCTACAATTTGTAACATTTATTTGTATGTGTGTGTGTGTTTTAATAAGATAACTAGAAATAAATAAAATTGCTTTTGAGATAGTCCAAAGTAGTTACTGGTTTAATTACTTTTGATAAATAAGAAAGAAAAATGAACTGTTTAAAATTTGTGATAACTGTAACTTCCCAGTGAAGAAAATCTTATAGTTCTGTGGCCTGAAATATAAGTTTAATTAGTTTTTATAAGCAATTTTTCAAGTTCTGGGAGAATGAACATAGAAGGCATAGCTGTGCTGAGTCTTGCACCAACATGAGACACCAAAATGCTTTTTATTGAGTAAAAGGATCAGACTCAGTCTGGACATGTAGTTGATGATACCTTTTAAGGTTACATAGATAAACTGGAATGTTTCTCCTAATTCCACTTAATCTTCTGCAATAAAACAAAAATCTGTCCTAATAAATGAAATCTCACAGCTCTCAGTTCTTACTGCTTTTCTTGTTCTAGGAAGTACCTGACTGAAATATTTTATAAGTGGAAATAGACAGTGGGAACAAAGACATAAAACAGAAAAAGGTGTAAGCAATTTATCCATTAATGTAAAGCTAATTTATAGTTGTGTCTTGTCTTTTTAGACTGTAAGCCTGAGGGCAGGGAAATGTCTAATTAGCCATTTGTAAGCTGCTCTGATAGCCTTTTGGCTGAAGAGCGGGGTATAAATACTTAATAATAATAATAATAATAATAATAATAATAATAATAGCAGCATGTGAATTGAATAGAACTATTAGAACTGGAATAGGCAATATATTTGCCAAGTAAATGTCTGTTTCTGTCTTGTGTATTGTTTTCTTTAAAGAAATGGGGTAGGTTGTGTGACCCAGATAGAGGCCCAGATGAAACAGGGAGAGGCCCAATCCTTTGCCCCACGGAAAATGTCTCCTGGGGCAGTTTGCCTCTAGGATGTTATTTGTGAGGTGTGGAGGAAGGGCCATATCCCTCCTCTGGATGCTGAAGTTCTGATCCAGATTGCCATATTAAAATAAACACCTTTAAACAAGTTTAGTGTAGGCAGTCATGTGACAAATATATTGCTAGGGTGCTGTCGAATATGTTTTAAAAGACCCTGGCTTTTTATTTGGCAAAACGGCTTCTTTCCCTCTACTGCTCCAAATCTCATTTTGCCTAAGAGTTCAGATAGTGTTCTAAAATAAAACAAAACTGCTGTTTCCCTCTTTCTGGTTGGTTGTCTTTTATATGAAATAGGCTGTTGCTCTTCCTGTCAGATGACATGTGTAATACTCCACTGTTGAGTTGATTTTCATTTATTAAAATCAAGCACATTTTGTATTTTGTTTTTAAGGGGAAGATCCTTTGTGATTCTGTCTCCCTTGCCTTGAGAATTTCAGCAGCAAATTGCTTTCTGCTGTAGTAAGATAATTAAATAGCATTATGGCATTTACAGCTGCATTTATAAGACTGTTTTTATTCATTTGTAAGATATCACCCTATCTGTTCAACTTGTATGAAGAACATATTATAAGACAAGCAGGCTTGGACACAGACGAAGGAGAAATGAAAATAGGGGGAAGGAATATCAATAATCTATGATATGCAAATGACACCATAGTAATAGCAGAAAACCTCACAGACCTGGAACACCTACTAAGGAAGATCAAAGAAGAAAGTGCTAAGACAAATTTAATGTTGAACATAAAGAAAACAAAAATAATGACCACCGAAGACCTTCACAAGTTCAACCTAGACAATGGAGAAATAGAAATAGCAAAAGAATTCCCATATCTGGGATCAAACATTGACAGAAATGGGGACTGCAGTCAGGAAATCAGAACAAGACTAAGAATGGGAAAGGTGGCTATGAAAGAACTAGAAAAGATTCTAAAATGCAAAGATATACAACTCAAAACAAAAGTTAGAATCATATAAGTCATTCCCTATTACCACATATGGATGTGAGAGCTGGACAGTTAAGATGGTAGGAAGAAAATCAATTCATTTGAGATGTGGTGCTGGAGAAAAGTGCTGGGGATCCCATGGACAGCCAAAAGGACAAACGGGTCCTAGAACAGATCAAACCGAAAACCTCCCTGGAAGCCAAGATGACGAAACTGAGGCTGTTGTACTTCGGACACATCATGAGAAAAGAAGGCTCATTAGAAAAGACAGTAATGCTGGGAAAAGTGGAGTGAAGTAGGAAGAGAAGAAAGCTACAAGACAGATGGTTGGACTCTATTAAGGAGGTCATGGGTATTAAGGGGTTGCAGGATTTAAGCAGAGCAGTGGAGGACAGAGTGTCTTAGAAATGTCTCACCCATACGGTCGCCATGAGTCGAGATCGACTTGAGGGCATTTAACAACAAACAAACAACAAAGACATCTTTAATGCTTTGAACAACAACAACAATAGCCCCCCACATACAAACAAACAAAAACCCTTTCCTTTGAAACAAACCAAAAAACTTACTTCGGGGACGGGGAGTTCCTGAACTTTAATTTTATCATACAGATCTATTTTTAAAAAATTAATGGGTTTCACTGTTTTTATTACTATGTTAGTATTTAAAGGCAGTTTCTGCTGAGAATATCCTGTGGAACACTTTAAACAAAGCTGAAGATATATTTAAAAAATTAATACTGAAGCAGACTATCAGAAGGGAAAAGTTACTAAGGTATTTCCCTGTGCTTCCATTAATCTGTATATTATCAAGGACCTTATTATGAATATGCTTACCGAAGTAGGTATGTAATAAACAGAATATAATTGAATTTTCAATATTAAGTCACAAGGGAATAATTTTCTAACAAGACCTCTGCTCTGTCTTCCAGCTAATTGTCATTCATTAGTCAATCTTGCCACATAAATGTCATCAAATGGTGGAAATCCACCCCCCTCCAAAAATGATTGCCTTTTAAAATGTGTGGCTCTAAACTATGGTATTTTAATTTTTTAAATCACATTTACCTTTCTGACATGGTCCACAAACAGTTTTAAATAAAGTCATATGGAATTTGAGGATCAGCTGAACAATAATTTTCATGGAGTGTTTGACATGAGAAAGTTAATCATGGAGGTTATCACAGCAGCCTGTTTTGCACTGCAGTCCTGCAAGGCAAAGTAAAACAGCAAAATGCTGAATTAAGAGCAGCCACCACTACACTTCTTCCATTTGCCCAACAATGGCTTCTGCTGGCATCATGCTCCCTTCCCATCCTCTCCCTCAACCCCACCCTCTCTTTCCTATCCAGCATGCCTTTACGTTTTTAATGTTTTTTCAACTTTTTTTCATGCAATTATGGAGCTCTGCAGCCCCAAATTAATCTTTTTAAAGTGATTTTTAAAATTTCGAGGCTGCAGAGCTCTGAAATTGCACAAATAATGGGGGGGGGGTTTAAAATAAAGCAGGGGGAGAAGAGAAAGGGGAAGGAGGGGACAGTGACACCTTGTGACTGCAAATTGTGCAAGTGCACCAGGAATGGCTTTTCATACCCAGGGCATTGCACAATTGGCAATTCATTCACGGGTTTCCCCTGTGAATGAAAATGGTCGGGTCAGGGGTGCTGATGTTGCTTCCTTCCCGTAGGAAGTTTAAAAGCCACATATGATAATCTCCCACATCTCCGAAACATCCAGTGAAAAATTTAGGTGGGGGTGTTGTTCAGAAAGTATGCTTTGTATGTGGAAAATCCAAATGCAGTAGCTTGCATATCTGTATTTGGGGTTTCATGGGTTGTGGTAGCTCAGCCAAGGTTGAAATTCTGTTGTTTTATTTAGAAGTAAGCACTATTAACCTTAATGGCCTTTATGTCTATATAATTATGTATACATAATATGCATACTGGAGAATGAATGTTATGTACCTTCAAGCCAAATTCCATCAGACATTGTTAAAAGATAGCGGTACAGTTTTCCCCTTTGACAAAGTTGTCAATTTATGCCTGACTGTAAGGGGCGGTGCTCATCTCCATTACTAAGATGAGGTAGCCAGAGTTGTCAAAGATGACTCTATGGCCAATGTAACTGAATGAAATCCCACCAAAGTGGTGCCTATTTATCTACTTGCTCTTTTACATGCTTTCAAACTGCTAGATTTGCAGAAGATGGGACTAGTGATGGAAGCTCACTCTTGTCAATGGCACTTGGGCGTCCTGATTTTTGCCTGGAAATCAGTCTTGGAAATCACAGGAAGTCTATAATTACTTTATTTTTCTGGATTTTTCTGCCACTTGTGGACTGAAAAGGGAGGTTGGGGTATTTGTTATGTTACTGCCATCTGAGATAGCCTTTTTCTCATTTGGAGACTATTTTTGCCTTGTTTTTAATCTGAAGGTTTTAGGGAAGCTTGGAAGGACTGGGAATCACAGAAAAGCGGTTGTAAGTCACATGCAGACTGTGGGCTGCACTTTCCCCACCTCTGTAGTATAGTGAAGTAGTGACAGAACACTTACTAAGATGACTCAACTGGGATTTATACAAAAGTTTTAGGGATCCAGCATAAGTTGATAAGCAGAGGCATAGTGGTTTCAGCATTGGACTACAACTCTGGGGACCAGGGTTCAGATCCCTGCTCGGCTATGGAAACCCTCTTGGACAAGTGACATGCACTCAGCCTCAGACAACCCCATGATAAGTTCTCCCTAGAGTCACTATAAGTCAGAAATGAATTGAAAGCACACAACAACAAAGAGGTTTTTCAATTTAATTACAACTCTATAAACATGATAAAGACATAAATGTGTGTGTGTATGTAGACTGAAGCTTTGCATTCACTATATGTTACTCTCATCTAGATTACAGAATTAATGTTAACAATGTTAAAAATAGATGCATGAGGTATAGGGCAGCTTTGAAGAGGAGAAGGCAGATGAAAGTACTGGTTTTGTGTTTCCACAACCTGATCTATTCAGCCAGCTGCCCTTTCCACCTGCCCTATGAATAAAGAGTTCCCAAAACCTGTGTTTAAAGAGCACTTATAAAAACCAGACCCTTTTTGGCAAGAGCTTAGTAGAAAGAGCCAGTTTCAGATTTTTAACATGTGAGACAAAGAGGATTAGGGAACTGCTTCCAGCCAGTGGAAATTTGATTTCAAAAGAAAACACTGTGATTTTCAAACTTTTGATTCTTATTGTATGAGTGCCAACTTTAATAACTTTAAAATCAGTTCTTTATGGTGTATGGGAATTGCTTCAGTTTTGAAATCTGAAAGCTAAACATTTACTAGGGAATTTGCTAAAGCAGATTTCATTTAATCAAACGTCATATTACAAATCACACGTTTCAATTAATATTTTTTTTCAGCTCACCAGGTACAATTCAGATCTCTTGGACAAGAATATATTCTCTATATTGTGACAAAAGCTGTGATTCCTTATTATACATCGTTATTATTTTTGGTACCATTCAGTGCTGTTTTAAAAAGGGGAGGGGATCATCACAATTGGTTCCTTTGGATTTGCAAAGGCAAAATCCTAAAATTCTCATTAGCTTATATTTTACATATATAGATGAATCTCTTTGTATTTGGGAAAATATGTCAATTCTTTGTTCTCCCTTTTTCCCCCCACTGATATCTCAAAGGGCAACAGATTAATATTTTAGAAGCAACTGAATTTCTTGAGGATTTATTTGCATCATGATGTTGAGCCATTGAACAGTGCAAATATATAAAAGAACTATGTTTTTTGTGAAGGCATGGACTACAGTCCTATGACTGAGAGACCAAGATATCTTCTTATTAATTCTGTATGCTGTTGCTATTATTATTATTATTATTATTATTAGTAGTAGTAGTAGTAGTAGTATATCCCACATTTTTCCCAGTGCAGGACTGAAGGTAGCTTGCAACAGATTACAACAAAACAAAATAAGAAACAAAAAACAAAAGAAAACTACATAACTAAAAAATAAAAAAACATTTAAGAGTGATTAAACTGTCAAAAAATTAAAACTACGTAGTTAAAAACATAAACCATTAAGAAACAAACAAACAGCGTAAAACATATAGCAAATAGAAAAACCAGCTCATTGTTTAGGCAGGAAAGGCCTTGTATAACAAGTCTTCAAAGGCCTGTAGAAACAGAAAGGTTTTAACTTGTCTGGGGAAAGAAAGCAAGGAGAGTGGAAGTCTGACTTCTCTGGGAGAGGAGTTCCAGGGTCTGGGGCCCTTTTCCATGTTCTCACCACATGTATCTGCAAAGATCATGAGATAGTGAATAAGGCCTCCTCAGAAAACCTCAAACACACAAGACTATCACTCTACACTCTTAAAATGGGGCTAGGTCATTTTAACTGCTCTGGCTGCCTCCTGTTGCATTCTGCAACCTGTAGTTTAGGAAGAGGCATTTAGAATAATCAGCTAGAGACCTTTTAAGCCTCACGGAACTACAAACCCCAAAATGCAGCAGGAGGCAGTCAGAACTGTTAAAGCGAACTAGCCCTGTTTAAAGAATGTGGTTCGATAAGCTTGACAGTCAGGTTCATATGACAGAATATGGTCGAATAACCTGGACCTCAGCCATATGGGGCTTTATATCTCATAACCAGAAGTTTGAATTGTGCCTGTAAACAGACTGGCCAACAATGGAGCTTTTGCAACAAGGGAGTTGTCTGCTCCTTGTATCCAGCCTCAATTCAACCTGGCTGCAGCTCTTTGGATCATCTGAACTTTTCAGACACTCATTACAGGCAGCCCCACATAGAACTTGTTACAATAATCCAGCCTCTGTTTGTAATCCTTTGTTTTTCTGACATGGATATATTGATGAGGCAGACAAAATTACTTCTGTGTTTTGCGGTAAAGTTTGCTTGGTTACAGTGTCAGTGTTTCAAGGGTCTTAATGCTCATTTGTCATAACATTCCATACATTTAACCTGTTAAGACAGTGGTGCATTTGGAACTGTATTACTGTTTGCAATTTGGATGAGAAGGAAGAAGATTTTTCTGTTTATACCCCAGCCTTCCTCATAAGAGTTTATGATGGTTTAATCTCTAACCCATCCTGACTGGGAAAAGAGAAACCACTTACAATATACTTCAACAAGTGTTTATTTCCATAAAGGTAAAGGTATTCCTTGATGACAAGGTTATCAAGTCATGTCCAACTGTAGGGGGCGGTGCTCATATCCATTGCTAAGTCGAAGAGCCAGTGTTGTCAGAGACTACTCTGTGATCATGTGGCCAGCATGATTGCACAAAATGCTGTTTATCTTCCCACCAAAGTGGTACCTATTTATCTACTTGCATTTGCATGCTTTCAAACTGCTAGGTTGGCAGAAGCTGGGACAGTACAGGAGCTCACCCCATCATGCAGCACCTGGGCCTCAAACTGCCAACCTGCTGATCTTGCAATCAACAGAGTCAGAATCTTAACCACTTGAGCCACTGCATCCCTGTTTATTTCTATACTTAAAAATTAATTAATGTTTATTTGCTAGTTGCTTTTACATTTTTGTTGTTGTTGTGTGCCTTCAGGGTGAAGGGGGCAGTCAATGCCTCCCTAGAAGCCAGCATTCCAGTTTGCCTAAAGGAGGCAATTATGAGGCTTTTGTTGAAAAAGCCATCCCTGAATCCCTCTATAATGGATAACTATCAGCCAGTGTCTAACCTACCATTTTGGGGCAAAGTATTGGAGTGTGCGGTGGCCTCTCAACTCCAGGGAACTTTTTAAGAATCACTTCCTATGGTGGAGCCCCTAAGAGGCCTACCCTATGTCTTACAAGTTAATGGTTTAGGAGTATTACTGGGAAACAAAGATGGGATAGATTGTAATTTTCCTAGAGTGTCTGTAGAGCACCTTGGAGCACAGGTTGAGAACCGCTGATCTAGATCTATTAAATCTGGTTTCAGCCTTGGCTATAGGACAGAGATAGCTTTATTCACCAGGGTGGATGGCCTGTGCAAGAAACTGAACAAGGGAAGTGTATTGCTGTTGGTTCCACTGGAACTCTCAGTGGCTTTCAGTACCATCAACCATGGATTTACAGTGGCTCAGTTTCTTCTTGGATGGTGTGCCAAAATGGGGGACTCCTGCTTGACCTGTTGGAATTCTGTTTTGTTCCCCAGTCTAATTAACTTATACATGATGCTGCTGGGAGAGATCATCCAGAGTTTGGGGGTCAATGTGCAGATGACACCCAACTCTACTACTCCTTTCTACTCTATCCCAAGGAGACTGTCCTGGTTCTAAACCAGTGTCTATCATCAATAAAGGAGTGGATAAGGGTAAACAAATTGAAACTTAATCCAGACAAGACAAAGATGCTTGTGGTCAGTCAAAAGGAAGATGAAAGAATAGAGATTCATCTTGTGTTACATTCACTCTGAAGACATAGCTTTTCAGTTTGGGTAGACTCATAGATTCAGCTTTGAACCTGGAGGCTTAGGTATCTGCAGTGGCCAGGAATGCTTTTGCATATTTAAAGCTTGTGCACCAACTGTGCCCATTCCTTGAGATGCTGGATCTGGTCACAATGGTAGATGCCTTAGTAATATCCCATCTGAACTAGTATAACGCACACTACTTGGGGCTGCCTTTGAAGAGTGTTCAGAAACTTCATCTGGTCCAAACAAATGATGTCAAACTGTTAACTAGGGCAGGTTACACAGACCATAGTACACTCCTGTTGAAACAACTCCATTGACTATCCATTTGTTTCTGGACACAATTCAAAGTGCTGGTTATGACCTATTATGTCCTATATGGCTCAGCTCCAGGCTGTCTGGCATATTATATGTCCCTATATGACCCAATCCAGGCCCTGATATCATCAGGAGAGGTCCTTCATTCAGTACCACCATCATCACAAGCATGGTTGGTAGGAACACAAAAGAGGGCATTTTTCAGTGGCTGTCTCTAGACTCTAGAACTGCTTTCCCAGAGAGTCCAGAATGGCCTTCCTTTGTTGTCCTTCTGGTGGCAGGTTACAACCTTTTTATTCAGACAGGTTTTTAAAAGAGAAAGTTTTTGTAGAATGTGCTGGGGGTGCTGTATTGTTTTAACAACTGTTTTGAAGAGTTTTTATCTTTTTTAAATGGCATTTTATTCTTTATTGTATGATTTGTTTTAATGCTGTAATAGTTTTAATTCTATTTTAAAGCTCACTTTTTATGTTTTTAATTTTGTTTTAAATTGTGAGCTGCTTTGAGTCCCAATTTTGGTTAAAAAGCAGAAATAATAATAATAATAATAATAATAATAATAATAATAATAAGTAGTAGTAGTAGTAGTAGATGCAGTAGTAGTTTATTTTCTCCCCACAAATTCACAACACTTTATTTGTAGTCACCTTGCAAGAGTTGCCTAGTGAAACAGTTGTTAAAATAAAATTGATCTTTTCCTTAATAGGCCTTTGTTTTAGACCCTAGGTATGTTACATTGACCTAGCATATTGTTCAAGCGTAAGCAATAGATTCCTTGTCTGTCACCTCAGGTACTTTGCTAATGTAGCATTGATCAAATCTACAAATCCTAAACTCAGGAGAAGTGATAGAAATATTAGCCGTGGGATGCACCACATGCCCAAAAGATAAATTGTCCAGGATGTCATTTTGCAAGTTGGAGGTCACAATTCATTCA